ATGAGGAAGAAGACCTTGATAGGCTTCGCTGAATACGCCTGTAAGTTGTTTGTTAACAGCTGCACGCATACAACGGAATTAATCGGCTGTTTATTCTTGTTTCGCGCAAAAAGAAGTGCATGAAGGCTCGCTGATTTGCCCCTTTAGTTGACTCGTAGACAAACAAATACAAACATCGATACATGCAGATGTGCGCAGAGGTCAAGTATTTTCATGGTTGATGGTTCGATGATTTTTCCTTTTTACACTGATATATAAATACGTAAATACATACGCATGGAAACCTTGTGAATCCATGGAGACGTGAAAACTAACAATTGCATGCAGATATACAAAGGCAGACAAGTCTACGCAAGCAAGCACGTACGAACAAACCAAAAGGATAAAACGCCGTAGACATATTCATATGGGTTTAAAGGCCGTATTCACACAGAATTGTACAGACAGATACGCACATAGACAGATAGGCAGACACGCATTACCGCGTATATCCATAGGAAGACGTTGCGAGCATTCATAGATGGACACAGTATGCGTGTATGTATGTATGCATGTATGTCTGTATACATGTATGTGCATGTATATTTGTATGTTAAAATATGCATGCAGTTATGCACAAACAACAGTAAACCCTAAGCCCTAAACCCTTGCCGTAGAGAAGCTGCTAGCCAGTAGGTCTTATGCATGCTGGCAGCTTCCATGGTTAGGGTTTAACTTTACGAGCAGATAATTCAGGGTTGACAGCTAGGGCATGGCTTTCATGGCGTGGAGGTCATGTACATTTGGGGTTTACGGTTTNAATTCAGGGTTGACAGCTAGGGCATGGCTTTCATGGCGTGGAGGTCATGTACATTTGGGGTTTACGGTTTAGAGTTTAGGGTTCTGTTGCGTTTCAGGGAGCAAGTCAAAGGGGATAAGTTGGGGAGAGGTTGACCCACTGCTCTCAGCGACTGGCAGGACGCAGTGTGCAGCAGCAGCAGCAGAGCTGGTGTATCTGAAGATAATGTTGAAGGAAATGCAACAAAGCCAGCAGCTGCACCTCCCGTCCCAAGATTCCGCAGCAGCAGGGGAAGCTGCTGCGGGCAGGAGCCCCGACCGGAGGCAGACAGCAGCTACAGCAGCAGCAGCAGCCACAACAGACGGAGGGTTCTGCATCCAAACGTTTTTAGTGTCACCATTTACAAGAACTCTTCAAACCGCAAGTTTGTCTTTCCACGATGTGGGCACCAGTTTGAAATGCCAGGAACCCACCGTGCAGCAGCCTCAGCAACAGCGACAGCAACAGCAACAGCAGCAGCAGCAGCATGTGACATGGCTGGTAGATTCTCTGCTGAAGGAGAAATATGGAAATATGACAGACACAGGAACAGAGGTTGCAGCGCTCCGCCGTCGTTTACGGCAGCTTTACGTACGCCGTGAACTCGCTCCAACTGTTTTTAGCTTTCGTCTAGTTCCAGAAGGACAAAAGTGGTGGCTCCCGTACGT